GCCTTTCGTTTTTATTTGGCTTTGCTGCTTTGCTTTTGGTGTTTTTAGACATGAAAGTTTGCCCAATGCCTTATGTCCTGATGGTACACCCTATGTTTCCCTCTAGGTTTTATGGTATTAGGTACTAACATTAAGTCCTCTAATCTAATCTTGAATTAATTTTCGTATAAGGAGTAAAGAAAGGATCCAGTTTCAGCTTTCTACTTATGGCTAGCCAATTTTCCCAGCACCATTTATTAAATAGGGAATCAATTTCATAATGTTTCTTTCTGTAGTGAAAGCCAAGAAGAAAACGAGCCTGATAATTTGGTCAACCTCAAAATTCCTCTCCTGTATGATGCTGAAATTCACTTAACAAGGTAGGTGAAGCGGTGGGTAACCTGTTATCACTAACACCAACTCTAGATCAGAAGATTTTTGGCTCATGGCTAAATAAGTCCTCTGTATGCTCATTCTTAACTGAAGAATTTGAATTACAATTCTTGTCAACTAAAACAGAAGTCCACAGACATATCGGTCCCTAGGAAAACCTTGAGTGACTCATTAGGTTTATTAAACTAACGAGAACAGCCCAGAAAGGCAGAGAAAGATCCCTGTAGCCACACATCACAGGCACACTTCACATTGCAGGCCCTCTGAGTAGCTGCAAACATTCTCAAAATGTTGAAACAGAACTCTCAAAGGTCCTGAGAATTGTCTGCACTTTCTTCTCACTGCCTGCTTCCCATTGTATATGAGATCTCAAGCGGTATCCCCATTCCTGGACATTGAGGCCCCAAGCACAAAGTTTTACACACAGTAGTTTCACAATAAATATTGAATCTAGTCACGGTTTGAATATTCAAATATTGAAACTAGATCAAGTCTAGTTTCTGAGTGAAAAATTCCTAACATATCAGATTAGGGTTTTCTTCCAGCCAGGAGGAAATGAGGTTTTTTCCAAAGGAGGTCATCCATAAAGAAATGCTTTGTTCCCTGTTTTTACCTGCCCAAAGCAAGCAAACCTGAGAGCAGTGGTGTAAATGTTACTGGTTGATACCAGCTGTTTTTAATTGTTCAGGGGGACGGGTGTCTTGGAAAGTGGGTAACATCCACATTTCACAGGTTCTAATAGATTGATATCACTTTAACTCATACATAGAAATAAGGTGAGTTCATGGCAGACAAACTGGGGCACAGTTGTGCAGGTGCAATGGGCCCAGGTGATGCCCTCCTACAGGCCTGGGAGCCAGAGTTCTCTACCTGGTGAAGCACTAGGACAGCTTCCCAGCACAGATCAATGACCCCTGAATAGCACACTGCAGCACTTTCCCAAGAAATCCAGTGACAGCAGGTTTGTCTAATTTCTACCACAATCACCCCAGCCCCTAAGAGCATGGAATCTGTAGATCATTCAATAACTCTCTGAGCAAAAACAAAAAGGAAAATATGTCATCATGTCTAGAGCTTGAGCCAAAGAGCAAAGATGAAAAGAATGCTTCTGTATCAAGTGAGTTGCAAACAGCACAAGCAGAAGCAAAATACAGTCCAAATAATACATCTCTGAAAAAGTCATCAGCAACTGCAGACTTCAAAGGATCCCCACTTGCTAAAATAAGGCATTGGAAACAAATGCAACCAACCCAAATTGATGTTACCACATTACCTGAATATTTTCCTTCTTATATTGATCCTTTCTTCTAAATATTTTTTGTCAATACAGTCTTTTTATTATTCTACTGTCCTACAATGGCCAATATTTTCCCAGATATTTAAGAATGAAATAAATATAAGATTGAAATGAGACTTTACTTTTACTAATTATCATATTAGGTATGTATTTTTGTAATGGCAACTTGAATTCAAATGTATTCTAATGTTCTTTAAAATATATCCTCAAAAACATTAACGTAGAGAATTATAAAGGACAAAAGCTAAAACGGCTCCTAGTCCTACTACCAAGAAAACCCAAACATTAGAGAAAGATACACAGTGAGAGATCATCCCTCCCCACCTTCCCTAGTGCCACTCCCCATAGGGGACTAACAAGACTTTTCCGAATATCTTCCAGATACAGGGTTGCTTATCTACCAGGATATATGCATATAACACACACACACACACACACACACACACACATACATATATACACACACGCACATTTTATTACCCAAAAGGAATGCTAAAACACTCTTCTGTACCTTGCATTTTACGTAATCTTAGAAAAGTTTTCATATGAGGACATACAGATCCAACTTATTCCAGTTCTGACTGGATCATAATTTATATAACCAATTCAATATTAACAAGATATTTGGTTGTTTTGCATTTTTATTTTGTTTGGTTTAACCATCACAAGCAATGCTGCAAAAAAATTTAACAAACATCTTTACAAACTTTTGAAAAAAATCCTACCCAATAACTTAGTGTATTTCTTAGCAACAACTTTGATACTGTATAACTGTACAATTATACTGTAAAAAAAAGATGGGTAGAAATAGCGATAATAGTATTATTTCTGAAGCAGGATCCCCCTGAGTATAGATAACTACTATTATAAATATATTGATCAACACTTAAGCAGCCTAAGGAACACTTAAGTAACAAATGGAAAAGTGTCAGATCTCTTTAAAATGCAAAGAGAGACCATATTAATTTAGAAATTGGCCCCATTTAGGATCTCACACAAAGATCTTCTGGAAGGCATAGGAAATAATTCATGCACACACATCCAAGCTTTCTGTTTCAAATCCTAGTCAGTTTTCCCATTTTCCATGTCAGGCTGACAAATCATTGTTTCCTCTCATATATAACCTTGACAAATACATCCACTCAAGTCTCCCTATGACATATTTTCCTTTTATGGATTTGGAAAAAATTCATTAAGGCATAAAAGAGGGAAAGACAAGGTTTTAGTACAGAAACCCAAAAAAATTCTACTTCAGAAAATGCCCACCCCAAGTTTTTAAGAAATAGAATTAACATTATATAATTAACATAAATTGTCCAGTGGGAATAAATGGAAAGGATATGCACAGTGTTCTCAGACCCCTACCCTCACCACTCATACCTTAATCCCCAACCCAAAGAAGCTACTCTGGTTGGAATCCCACCTCAGAGCCCCAGAAATGAGTGAGGAGAGGGGACGTCCCCAGTTTCATTCTAGTCTGAGTGGTCCTATGAGGGTTTCTCTGATCTCATCATCACTTTGCTTGCAGAACTTTGTTGGTAATCTTAAGCAAAGAAGTTAAGATCAATCCAGTGTGTTTAGGTCCAGAATACTAAAACCTCTGGATCAGCCATCTTAAAGGTGGTCTCTACACTAATGGCGGAAACAGATTTGACCAACCCCATTCAGACTAAACCATTTGAATTGGTTTGCAACTAAAGAAGGATAGGAAGAATGAATAATACAGGCATCCAGTAATGAACACTGAAGGTGCTCAATACCCTGTTATTACATTTGAGCCACAGCAAGGTGAAAACCCTTGGCTTATAAATCCATTTATTCAACCAATAAGTACTGACTGTCTACTATGTTAACATGCTAGTCAATGTAACAGTAATCCTGGGAAGAGTTCTACTGTCAATTCTAAAGTAATACTTTTGTACTTATTTAGAAACTTGACAATTGGTAGACATATAATGCACAAACTCTTAGCAGAAAGTCCACAAAGAAATATGTTTTGAAAGGAATTTATGTTAGTCTTAGAAACATACATTGGACCATAAGCACATAACAAGCATTTCTTTTGATTTGGTGCCTTTGTAACTAAAAGTAAAATTTATTTTAACCTAAACTATAAGATACTTAAATGAAAGAAATATTAACCTTCAAGAACAAAAGCAAACTAAAATATTTGGCTTTACAAACATCATCCAACAGATCTACCAACATAAATTTTTATGAAATCTCTTCGGATGGGAATGTTCCTTCAATCGTGCACAGTTTTGAAGATATTGGCCCAAAATTCATCTTCTCCCTGAAGGTTGGTAAGCCTGTCATAAGGATGGCAAATCCAGGAGAAAGCGAGAAGAAAAAAAAAAAATGAGTCTGGAAATAAAAGGAAAAAGTAAAAAGAAATTGAAATACATCCGTGGTTCTCAAACTTGAGAGTGCATTAAAATCACCTGGAGGAATTGTGAAAACACAGATACTGGGCTTTATCTCCAGGGTTTCAGATTCAGTAGGTCTGGGGTGGGCCTCTACATGTGCATATCTAACAAGCTCCCAGGTGATGCTTATGCTGCTGGTCCAGGTGCCATACTTTGATAACCAATAGGCTAGATCATAGACAAGTAAACAACTGGGCTTTGTGCGTAGTTATGTGTCTTGGGTAAGAGATAATTGATATATTTTGAAGGCAAACGTTCAATATTAACCAACAGAGTATTACTATAAAGGTATTGCTGTGGGGAAAAGTCTTTGGAATGTGATTATTATGTCAATTTATCCTTAGAGACCACTTCTGTTTGAATTTTCCTTTTGTATACAAATCTGTACAGCAATACTAGGTAGTATCTAAAAATATTTTTGAACCAAATTCTATTTACTATTAGAAAGCAATTATTAATCTAAAGATTACTACCAGACATATGAAGATAAATTAATTTGTGAAAGAGTAACTATTTTATAATGTAACCAAATTAAATAAACTTTGGGAAGTAAAAAGAATTTATCCACTATCCTAAGTCAATACCATTTTATTTTTGTTCATTTCTCACTAGTTTGTTACATGGTTGCAACCGTGCAATTTTGTGATAAAAAAATCTTTAGAAGAATCTTTATGATCTAGATACTATAATAGAATTTATAAAATGTGGATGGTATTTGGCAACTACATTCTTTAATGGGGCATCTATTCAAGTAGTGGTAATAACATTCATAGAGTGTGTAATAAGTACCAGCCGTTGTATCAAGTGCTTTACATACGTTATCCCATTTAGTTCCCAGATCAGTTTTGAGCTTGGTATTATTTCCAGGGATGTTATTTAAAATATTTAAATAACAAGTAGGGTATGAGCCCTGGCCAATTAGAACAGAAACCCCCACCAGTTAGAACAGATGCTGTACAAGTGCCCTGTGCCAGCACATTCCTGCTGAATTTCTGATCATCTTTATTTTACAAATAAGAAAAGCACAGAGAGGTCAAGCTCCTTGCCCAAGCCACACTGCTAATCAGCAGCAGACTGGGACAGCACACCCTGGCATCCCAACTCCACAGATGCCATTTTAACCATTTACACCACACGTCTTGCAAGTCACAAATTACTTACCCATTAACATTGTAGATGTTGAGTTTTTTTCCATTGAGCCATTTATGCCTACTGTTCCATTATTGGAACACGAAGCATGTGGGAGTTACTTATATCCTACTGCTCAAAGTCATCGCCAAAGTATGATTGAAATTTCAAAAAAAATGCAACCTCAGGCATAAATGTGTTTTAAAAGGTGAGACACAGAGACTTGAAGTGTGACTATAAAGTGATGGCTCACTTTCATTTGGACTCAATCTTACCACCTCGTAGTTGCCCTCCATCAACACAGGGGTTACTGGTGAATTTCCTGGCATCATGTACATCCTGTTGCAGTACTGGCACATTTTATTCTCTACGTAGGTAACAACAGGAAGTGTTCCAGTAAGCATGGCAACTGTAATCATCCACATCCCTCAATATACCAAAGAAAAGAACCCACTGATGTACCTAACTGGGGTGCAAACAGACAAGGTAAAGAATACAAAATTGCCTAAAAAATATGCACTTTCAAGATGGAAATAACCCATGAGATTAGGGTGATCATGTCTGACATTTTACAGATGGGAAACAGACGGTAACGCCTATGCAGCCCAGGTGCCAACTGACTAGCAGTTAATTTCATATAAGAAGAAGAATATTGTTACAAGAAAACAAATGTTTGAGTCTAGGGAATTGCAGGTGGCAGAAATTATTCCAAAAACCCCATTTTGGCCAGGTGAAGATCTGACTTTGACAGGCCCTGTGCAGGCTGGGAAGTGAGAGGCTGAACCTGTATGGGAAGCATAGCAGGTCTTCACAGCTGCAGTGAGGAGCTGGTCTTCAAGCAGCCAGCCTGGACTTTCCCCTGGTAATACTCAACCCTGGCTGTTCATTTTAATCTCTCTGTTTGCTCTTTTAAATAAGAGTGCCCAGACCTAACCCAGGTAATTAAATCAGAATCTCTAGGGATAAGATTCCTACACTAGGGTTTTTCTTTAACCACCCCCACTCCATCCACCCCGTGATTCTAGCACGCATCCTGGGCTGACAAGCACAGCTCTAGCCAAACCCCTTGACACTGGCTCATCTTCAGTCCAACAGTGGTATTATTCAATAGTTGTTTTATTCCTGTAGTGTGCATAGGGGGCTACAGGAAAATCAAAATCCTAAAATGTTCCAGAGAAAATTACCCTGAATTATTCACAGTGTTTAGCTATTACAGATTTGTCTCATCATATGTGGGCTATAAGAACCTAGCCCACCTCATCAGTTCACATCAGGAGCATTTAAATACTTCATGTTTACCTGACGATTATACGAAGTGTGGCCAGGTCAGCGGCATTGAAAGAATCCTAACAGCCCTTCCCAGGCCCCTACAAGTGATAGGAGGATTTCCTAACATGTTGAAAGGAACATTATAAACTGTTTTGTTTCTGAAGTCTGATCAGGTGTTCTTCTTTTATAGGCTGGTGACATCAGTTGTAATGCAGATATCAATCCACTGAAAATAGGACAAACATCTTCTGTATCTTTCAAAAGTGAAAATTTCAGGCACACCAAAGAATTGGTGAGGACAAGTTAACGTGTGAAAGCTCCCCTTATTCATTTATTTCCCCTGTGATCAGGATGCTGCTTTTCTCCTACCAACTGATATCATAGAGCTTACTTATTTTGACTTTGATGCTTATATGAGTCAAGACTTACAAAATATTAGGTTGTGCAAAAGTAAATACGGTATTGAAACCCACAATTACTTTTGCACCAACCTAATACGTGTTCAAATCTAGGTTACTGGAATTATCTTATGCCACTTCTTATAAAATACAAGTTCCAGATTTCATGACATCAGAAAAACTCATGTGAAGCTATTGTGTTTATGCATTGTGCACTTTGGAAACAAGGCAAAGAGCTGTGAAGGAACTGGGTGTGTGCTACAGAGGAGAAGCCCCTTAAATCCCCCTTCCACATACTACTGATGTTTTTTATTTAGCTGTGAAATATGCTGCTGCACTTCTTTGTTTTTTCAATATTTTGTTATTTCCTGCGTCAAGCTATGCCTGCTTCTTTGAGAAAGAGACGAGTCTAGCATCTGGCATGGTGCTTGGCACATATTAAATATTGAAATAAGTAAACCTTTAGTAAGCAATAACTCCTAAACAAACCACAGCTCTCCCCTATGAACAGTATTGGAATTCTCCTGGTTTTCTTTGATTGCAATTGTTTTATTTTGTGAAGGATGGGGAAAACAGGAAACCAGAAGAATAAAATTATGTTTCTTTTAATGTGTATTAATCTACAAATAGGTAAATGCATGCTGTAACGGAAGTGGGCCATGCTACCTTTTGGCCTGGAACATAGGTCAATATTCATAGATTTTCAATTAATCACTTCATTTTTTAATGCAGTTTTAAGTTCATGGAAGAATTGAGTGGAAAGTACAGAAGTTTCTCATATACCCCCGTCCCACACAGCCTCCCCCACTATCAAAATCCTGCACCAGAGTGGTATACTTGTTACAATCGATGAAACTACATTAACGTATCATCATCAGCCAAAATCCATAGTTTACATTAGGGTTCACTCTTGGTGGTGTTAAAATCCATGCTGTGGAATTTGACAAATGTAAAATGACATGTATCCCCCACTACAGTATCATACAGTGTATATTCACTGCCCTCCACATCATCGGTGCTCTGCTTATTCATTCCACCCGCCCCACTAGCCCTTGGAACCACTGATCCTCTTTCTGTCAACTTTTTTTTAAAATCTAGGGAGTCTATCATTAGGTTTAATGACAAAATTGTAGTATATTTTGTGTATGTTTAATAATTATTTAACTAGTACATTGTTGATAAACAAGTTACAGTTTGGGGGGGTTGGGTTTTTAGGTCTTTTTACTCTTAGAAATAGTAGTGCAATAAACAGGCTTGGGGTACTTTGTTCCACACCTTGCTGATTATCTCCTGAGGCTGTCTATACAGACAGGAAATGGATGGGGCAAAGGGTGTGCACTTTGTACATTTTGAGATATAGTCCCAAAATCCCTTGAAGGAGGGCAGGAGGGTTAGAACTACTAATAGCTCATGAGATTGTCTGTTTTCCTAGATGCATCCCAGCACTGGGTTTTATCTATCTTTAAAATTTTAGTATTTATTTTTAACTCCTACTAACTTTCTCTCTCTTTTACCTTTGACTCCATACTATAAGAACTGCAGAACTGCTTCCTGTAGTAATGTTACCTGCTGGTTGAAAGACCTTCACATGAAAGGAGAATACTTTGTTAATGTGACTACAAGAATTTGGAACGGGACTTTTGCATCAGTAAGTATAAGTTTTATTTGTTAGATTTATCAACACCAAGGAAATGTAAGGCTGCACTGACAAGTTCTTCCCCTTTGACAAAATAAGTATTCTGGCTAACGTCTGCAGTGGCCAAATCACCCAGAGCATTTCACCCTGGAAGGCAGCACACTTCCATCCCTTTCCAATGCTCATCCAATTTGTCACAGTGCCTCAGAGTCGCCTGGGGTACTTGTGAAAGGGTCTGTTTCTCAGACTCCATGAGACCTACCACATCGATGGGAATGGTGTCAAGGTCATCTCTGAGGCCCTGGGCTACAAGAGGCAACCTGCTTTGTCCCGCTCTAGGACTTACCCCACTCTCCATCTTTCCAGTCTCCTCTGCCACACCCAAATCAAAATGCCTGTGCTCTGTCTCACTCCTTGAGCTCTCAGTTAATTGTATGATTGATCTCAAACCACCCAGTAGATGAATCTAGCATAAGGATATGTCTTCCTATATTACAGCCAGGTCATCACCCTGCTCTCCTGTTTTACCTTCCCTGATGGAAGAGCCCAGTGGGCACATGATTTTCTAAGTCATCTCAATTCCCATGAAAAGTTTGAAGAAAAAGCCAAAACAATGTCATTGTTGTTGTTGTTGTTGTTTTTCCATATGGCAACTGTGAATCTGCTCTAGTGATATTTGCTTTCAGCAGGGATTTTGGTAGCCAGAATTTCAGTCTGGCATGAAAAAAATATAAGGATAGACAGGCCTCCTTAAATTGGACTGCTTGTGTGGCTAGCATTCCTTTTACTGACATGAGCTCCAATTGAGGAAGAAAAACAGAAATTAGTCTGAAACCTCCTGGGGACCTTTGTAGCTCTTACTAAATTTTTTTTTTTTTTTTTTTAACAAATAAATCTGTTCCCAAGGTGCTTACAGCCAAACGCTACTCATTTTTTTTTTTCTTTTTACCGTTTCATGATCTCTTCAATAAACCCACTTCCTGCTATAGAGTTTTATAAAACTGGAGAACTCAGCACCCTCCAAACTCATCCCTGGAGTCAAATAGAAGTAATATTCTTGGATAAAGACATGGAAGAAAAATGAATAGTAAAAGTTAGAAAAAATGCAGAATTGGGGGAATGGGGAAGTGAGGAGTTGAATATTTCTTCTGGCTTGCTTGCTTTTACTTTGTTTTCCTGTTAATTACATTTGTTTCAAGCCTTCAGGACAATTCTAAGTCCTTTAAGATGTGAAGAGTACTGTTAGTTGTACCACCTTCCCAGCTGCTGCCGTGTGGTGCTTAGTTTTGCTCCATTGGTTCTTGGCTCCTTGGATTTGAGGAACAAATGTTTTCAGAGCAAATTTTGCCAACTGGAAGGAACACTGACTGTTGCACATCAAAATGCATGCATGCCAGCTCTGTAAAACACATTTGGATTTTCTCGAGTTTAAGACTACATCATTTTAACTGTGAGACTTTTTAAAGTACCTTCCCAACGATCTTCAGAAGCAGTAGTTTATTTCTGGGAGCAAACTTCCTAGAAAGTGTAGTATTTATGCCACTTTAATGTGGCTATGGTGGTTAAACTAAGGAAACACCCTTGAGATGTCAAGGTATGTCAAGTGACATACAAGGATTGGTGTCAAGTCCTACATATCTTCCTCCTTCATGAAAAGTCAAATGTTTATCCTCACCTTGCTTCCAGCAATTTAAGCAGCAAAGTGGATGTTTCTCAGACCACTTAGGAGGTCCCGTCTGAAATATGGATTTCATTTCCTGTATTTGAACCCACTGATGCACTGCCTTTTGTTGCTACCTTTTCTCTGATGTAGTGCAAGGCAACTTAACATTTCAAGTAATTTCATTACAAAGTGATTGATCAGGCCTCCAAATTGATGATAGAGTTGCTGCCATTTGTAAGGGGAAGTCTTCTTGAATGCTAGCAGGTGCGTTCCTTCACTCTCCAGATGTGTGTGCCATGCCTACCTCTACTTATTAACCCTGTGTTAATAAGTAGGATATTGTGTGCCTGTGAGAAGGGCCTATTTTGAGAATGCTATAAGAAAAATTCTTTCATCTTTAGTCTTTGGGGATTATGAAACCAGTATTTACTTAATTGCCAGTTTTTTTCTTAAACTTAAACCATTATCAATACTCTTAATGTTTCCCCCAATAATATGTTTAAGAGACTGGTGAGCATGGTTAATTTCTGATCCAGTCATCTATCTTGAGAAAATTAACAGTAACCAGAGACTGAGCCAGTGGAAAGGAAATAAAATGCTCAGTTTTTGGAAATACAGTCTTTCTGGCTCCCAGATATTGTTTAGCAAATTACCTCATAGAGTATGTCCAATAATGTGCCCTAGTAACCAGAAAAACCGAGTCCTAGTAGCCACAGCATGTGAAAGCAGCTCTAACATGTGAGCACTGCATTCTACTTTACAGTAGCATCAGACCTAATATAGAGAAAATAGTGAAATAGACACATCAATAATGTTTCTATTGAAAAATAGACCTTTTTTTTTTTTTTTTTTTTTTTTTTTTTTAGAGGAGCCTTGCTCTGTTGCCCAGGCTGGAGTGCAGTGGCTCGATCTCAGCTCACTGCAACCTCCGCCTCCCGGGTTCAAGTGATTCTCCTGTCTCAGCCTCCCAAGTCTCTGGGATTACAGGCGCCCACCATCACACCCGGCTAATTTTTTTATATTCTTTAGTAGAGACGGGGTTTCGCCATATTGACCAGGCTGGTCTTGAACTCCTGACCTCAGGTAATCTACCCCCCTCAGCCTCCCAAAGTGCTGGGATTATGGATATGAGTCATTGTGCCTGGCTGAAAACTAGGCTCATTTTCTGTAACTAGATGGAGGAATGAATGTAAAGTTATTTTGAATTAGGAAGTTACCAGTAACAGCAGCATAAAATATCCTTCCTACATACCTGCCCCAAATTAAGTGTTATTTGATAGAAACACTTAGATAGGAAATCTGAAGTTATACTGATGTGATATAACAAGCCGAAAAGTTCAGGGCCATGGGTGGTCAAATTCAAATGCACTTTCAAACAGTATTATTTTACACACATGTACCCAGAAGGAAAATTCTCTTCCCTTTTAAATGTTGGTTTTCCATTCCATTGTGTGACTTGTTCAGGTAAGTATACAAAGATGCCAAGTTTACAATTTTCTCTCATGTTATAAACTTTATTTTAAAAAAAATCTGAACTATGATCTTCCAAGTTAAATTCATTTTTAAATCCTCGTTTTTCAACCCAGTTCTCAAGTTCAGATCTCCTCAGGGAGATATTTTAACCCACTCATGTCTTGATCCCACCCCAAAAAGTAGATTTGTGGTGGCAAGGTGCAGGCATCTACATATCTTAAAATTACCCTAGGTATTTCTGACGGGCAGTCCTGTTACACAGCACTGGTTTAAACACACACAGATTCTGGACAGGTCTTCAGAACTATTTGCTCTTGTCACATTCCACCAGGAAATAAACACATAAATCATAAGCATGCCAGCTTTTCTGCATTTTCTGCTGCTAGGATAAAACATATTCCTTTACGTTCCAGTCCACGTTCCAGACGGTACAGCTAACGGCAGCTGCAGAAATCAACACCTACAACCCTGAGATATACGTGATCGAAGATAACACTGTGACGGTGAGCACATCACACCTTCCTTGTGAGCCTCAGGGTCTGTGATAGGCATTCCATTTCTAAAAGCCCGGAGTAGTCACTCTTCTCACCTACATGTATGTAGAAACATCTTACTAAAACTTTAAAGATCTGATGTTTATTATGTTGAGATTTCGGCGAGGGTGTGTGCTACTTAAAAAGTTCAGTGCTATACTTGCCCTCCTCCATGCCCCCCACCCATGTCAGCAAAGCTGGCTTTCCTAGAAGTGGTGATCCAGTGAGAAGCACAACAAAAGGGGCTCTATGTTGTTTGGGACTCCAGGGTGTCTCTTCTCATGACTAAGCCAGCAGCACCAGTTCTTCCTTTCTCCTCCTGCTTACACAAAATGGTCTGGAGCTTAGGCCACAAAACCTAATTATGCTAATTTAAATCATAAATTGTATTTTGAATAATTTTTAAAGAAAGGTACTGAAGCATGCTTAATAAATAATGCATTTATTAGAGGGTTTTTAAAAATAGTTCTCCTTACAACTAGACACTGATACTGTGTGGCATGTCCATTCATTAGATCTTACGTTCTGGAGGACTATAAATGCTCCCCTTGATTTAAAAAAAAAAAAAAAAAAAAGCTTTTGCAGAGAAATGTACTTTCACAGAAAACAAAGGCTCTCTGTTCCGCAAGCTGGCATGAGATAATTTTCCTTTGCACTAAATCTCTGGTTAGAATGTGCCATGTTTAGATATAGTAGGATTTCCATGCCCAGCTAATCTGCTGGCAGAGCCCTGAGCATTTTCCTCCCAATGCTTGTGTTAGGAGTTGAAAGCCAGTTTAAGAGTCTGCCCCCAAGGCCAGCTTGGCAGTTGGCCTCAGTCCACTGCTCCAGCCTACAGACTTGGTCAAAAAGTTATGGCCCCATGAACTCTGGGTCTCCTCACTCCATGCCTGAGAGTGAAGCTCACAGCACTGGGGCCTCACTCTTGTCCAGGGAAAAATGATTCCACACAACAGAGCTTACTTCTCTGCCTCTGGTTTAGGAGCCTCCGTGAAAGCCCACACCCTCTCTTCAGAGACTAGGGCCTGGAAAATCAGAAATAGAGCCAAAGGAAATGCGGGCTTCAGATTCAAAATGCTATGAACTTAGCATCGGGGAGAAGTATTATAGATTTTTTTTAAAAGCTCACTTTAGAAAAACAGTGTTCAGACAATATGTGAAACTCCACTGAACACTGTTTTGAGAAAGCAGTATTAAATATATTAATCGGAAATTCAAATGAACAATTTTAACAAACCCATTCGATTCTTCTTTTATTGGTTTTCTCTGAGCAATACTAATAAATAACAGAAACCAATTACTAGGTGCAAAAGTAATTGTGGTATCTGCCATTAAAAGTAAAGAAAGGCTGGGAGCGGTGGCTCAAACCTGTAATCCCAACACTTTGAGAGGCCGAGGCAGGCAAATCACCTGAGGTTGGGAGTTTGAGACCAGCTTGGTCAACACAGTAAAACCCTGTCTCTACTAAAAAGACAAAAATTAGCTGAGTGTGGTGGTGCACACCTGTAATCAAAGCTACTCGGGAGGCTGAGGTAGGAGAATCACTTGAACCTGCGAGGCAGAGGTTGCAGTGAGCTGAGATTGCGCCACTGCACGCCATCCTGGATGACAGAGTCAGACTCTGTCTCAAAAAAAAAGAAAAGTAAAGAAAAAGTATTTTTAATATCAAAGACTGCAATTACTTTTGCACCAGCCTAATATTACTCAGTTGTGTCTATGAAAATTTTTTTAATCTAAACATTAATTTGGATAAATTTTTGAATAAGGTATCTAACCTAAATAATAACTTCACATGTTCTAAGTGTCTGTTATATTTATTTGAATCCCTAGCCCACTTAAAAATCTGATCCACAAAATGCTATAGTCATGGGTCCATAGGGATCTGTGGTTCCTTCGGTTAGAAAGCTGTGGAAAAGAGAGAAGAAAGCTTATGACTGCCATTAAGCAGTGAGCTACATGAATTTATCATCACTTTATTCATAAATTTATCAAGCCTTATATTTTAGTTCTTGAAGATACAAATGAAAAGAAATACAGTCGCCAAGGTCAGCTGCAAGTTTAGTGCAGCCCATAAATTATATGACAAAAAGCAGCTCATTTGCCACTTCAATTTAATGTTAAATCAAGTAAATAAAACACATATTATCCCCTTCTGTTGCTTCTACATACAGCTCTTTAGGAATATTTTCTAAAGAGAATGGTTGAGACTCTTTCCCCAATTAATTAAATTTCTCCTAATTAATTAAAAACTGAATATACAGTTTTACTGTTAAAACTCAGGGCAGCCATTCCATTACAGCATCTCAAAGATTGCCAGGAAGCAGACATAAAGAATCCTAAGTAGCCTCAAGGACAACTTTCCCACTGAAAAGGTCAACTTCACCCTTGAGATACTATTTCTACTTTTCCAACAATATCAACTTGGAATGAGGTTTAAGTGAACCTAGTATTTTAGACCCAATACAAAGCTGTGGTTTCATCACCATCAAGTTGGGTTAATGAGTTTCTTCGACTCCTCTCCCCAAAGCTGTTTGCTTTCACTTGATGATGCTTTCACTTGATTTGAATGTATGCCAGAAATGGAAGTTTCTATTTCATAAGTAAAATAAGCATCTGAGATTCTCAGGCATGAAGTAGCCACAAGACAGTGATGTAGTTAAAGGGGGGAAACTAGAAAAGTTGTATTTTTTAGCTGGATGGACTTTGCAGGAGGATTTTCTCTAAAATTGTTCTGCCAGTGTTTGAGATACGCCATCATGAGCAAATCATGTCACCTTCTAGAGCTGTAGACCTTCACTTACAGAACGAGAGAATTGGACTAGACCATCTCCCCACTTTTTTTGTGGTATTAAAATAACTCAACTGTCAACTGACATTTCCAGATTCCCCTGATGATAATGAAACCTGATGAGAAAGCCGAAGTACCAATAGGAGTTATAATAGGAAGTATAATTGCTGGAATCCTTTTGCTGTTAGCTCTGGTTGCAATTTTATGGAAGGTAAGAAAAGCTCCATATTTTAAAATACAGGGCTCCTGAAGGCCAGCCTTGAATTTGCTTACAAAACATCAACCTCAGGTTTTATATGGTACCTTCTCTATCACAAGGAGAAAAGAAATGCAAGTTTGTTTACAATTTCTTACTCATGTCATTAAAAACAACCAGTAAGGATTTTATCTTCTTTTAAACTTTCCTTTTATCCAGAGCCCTGCATGGTTTGTTCAGCTTCAAATAAGTAGACGCTGACAAATGTAGCTTTACGCAATGCAGCTGAGCTCTCTAGATAGATGTTTCCTTCTACCGGGTGACAGATACCAGGTCATCAGTCTGCACACCTCCCTTCAGAGCCTCAGGGATTCCCAGAGGTGTGTCAGAGGACGTGCGCAGCCAAGGCGGTGGGAGGCACCTTACAAAATAAGCTACGGGTGGTAACATTTTTGTATCATCACCTTTACAGCTCGGCTTCTTCAAAAGAAAATATGAAAAGATGACCAAAAATCCAGATGAGATTGACGAGACCACAGAACTCAATAGCTGAACCAGCAGACCTACCTGCAGTGGGAACTGGCAGCATCCCAGCCAGAGTTTGCTGTTTGCGTGAATGGATTTCTTTTTAAATCCCCCCCCCCCTTTTTTTGTTTAATCATGTCATAGGTAAACTAACCTGGTATTTTAAGAGAAAACTGCAGGTCAGTTTGGCATGAAGATATTGTGGGGGGTTGGGGAGGTGCGGGGAGCGGGTAGGGATATAATGGGTAAAAGACTTATTTTATATGATGGGGAAAAAAAGTAATCTTTAAACTGGCTGGCCCAGAGTTTACATTCTAATGTGCATTTTGTCAGAAATATGAAATGCTTCCAAGCATGATAACTTTTAAAGAAAAATATGATACTCTCAGATTTTAAGGGGGAAAACTGTTTTCTTTAAAATACTTGTCTTTAAACAGCAACAACAAGAGCGGAAGTGCCTGATATGTAAGGACTTCCACTTGTGTATATTTTAATGACTATTGATGTTAACAAAAACACAGGTTGTTTTTCAATTTATGCTGCTCATCCAAAGTTGCCACAGATGATACTTCTAAGTGATAATTTTATTTATAAACTAGGTAAAATTTGTTGTTGGTTCCTTTTAGAGCACGGCTGCCCCTTCCACACCCTATCTTGCTCTAATGATCAAAACATGCTTGAATAACTAAGCTTAGAGTATACCTCCTATATGTCCATTTAAGTTAGGAGAGGGGGCGATATAGAGACCAAGGCACAAAATTTTGTTTAAAACCCAGAATATAACATTTAGGTAAAATCCCATCTGCTAGAGGCCCATCCTGTGCCAGAGGAAGGAAAAGGAGGACATTTCCTTTCTCTTTTAGGAGGCACAACAGCTATCTTTTAGGACTTGTTTGGGTGACTGGCAGTAACCTAGTGAATTTCTGAAAGATGAGTATTTCTTTGGCAACCTTCCTCCTCCCTTACTGAACCACTCTCCCACCTCCTGGTGGTCCCATTATTATAGAAGCCCTCTACAGCCTGACTTTCTCTCCAGTGGTCCAAAGTTATCCCCTCCTTTACCCCTCATCCAAAGTTCCCACCCCTTCAGGACAGCTGCTGTGCATTAGATATTGGGAAAAGTCACCTGTTTAATTTACACACTTGCATGAATTACTGTATATAACCTCCTTACCTTCAGGAAGCTATTTTCATTTAGTGCTAAACAAGTAAGAAAAATAAGCTCGAGTGAATTTCTAAATGTTGGAACGCGAGGGGATGTAAACAATGTAAAGTAAAACATCTCAGGATTTCGTGAGAAGTTACAGATGAGGCACTGGAAGCCACCAAATTGGCAGGTGCACCCTCTGTGGCTGTCTTGTTTCTGAAGAACTTAAACTTCCACAAGAAAGAATTTGACCTAGGCAAGTTTGTTCAAAAGGTAGATCCTGAGATGATTTGGTCAGATTGGGATAAGGCCCAGCAATATGCATTTTAACAGGCACCCCAGTCACTAGGATGCAGATGGACCACACTTTGAGAAACACCACCCATTTCTACTTTTTGCACCTAATTTTCTCTGTTCCTGAGCCCCCACATTCTCTAGGAGAAACTTAGAGGAAAAGGGCACAGACACTACATTATCTAAAGCTTTGGACAAGTCCTTGACCTCTATAAACTTCAGAGTCCTCATTATAAAATGGGAAGACTGACCTGGACTTCAGCAGTGATGCTTTTAGTTCTAAAAGTCTATGGTCTGGATTTCTATCATACAAATAGACAATCTTCCAAGAATTTGACTTGGAAAAAAATGTCAGAGGAAAACAGGTTATCTGCCCATGTGCATATGGACGACCTTGACTGCCCTGGCCCAGCCCCTATGTTGGCAGTCCAGGGCTATCTGTACTGTTTACAGAATTACTTTGTAATTGACAACACAAAACCAACAAGAAAAGGCACAAAATGCCAGGGTTTTATAGAAAAAATAGCATGGTATTCTCTAGTTAGGTATGCCAGAGTCCAATTCTTTTAACAGCTGTGAGAATTCGCTGTTTTGTTCCAATGAAAATTTTATTTAAAAAAAAAAAAAAAGACTAGAGAAACTAGTCATTAACTTGATAAATAATATTTAACAGCTAGTGATGCTGGTGTGTGCCTGCAGCTCCAGCTACTTGGGAGACTGAGACAGGAGGATCGCTTGAGTCCAAGAGTTCAAGTCCAGCCTAAGCAACATAGCAAGACCCTGTCTCAAAAAAAAATGACTATTTAAAAAAACAGTGTGGCTGGGAACAGTGGCTCACACCTGTAATCCCTACACTTTGGGAGGCTGAGGCCAGTGGATCATGAGGTCAGGAGTTTGAGACCAGCCTGGCCAATATAGTGAAACCCCATCTCTTCTAATAACACAAAAATTAGCTGGACGTAGTGGCAGGGGCTGTAATCCCAGCTACTCGGGAAGCTGACGCAGGAGAATCACTTGAACCTGGGATGCGGAGGCTGCAGTGAGCCAAGATCGTGCCACTGCACTCCAGCCTGGGCGACAGGGCAAGACTCCGTTTAAAAAAAAAAAAAAAAAGAGTTAGTACTGTATATAAAAATATTAGCTTTTCAATGTGCTATACAAAGAATTATAGCACAACCCTCCTTTTATTTTACTCTGTCTCACCTTCTTTAGGTGAGTACTTCCTTAAATAAGTACTAAACATACATATACAGAACTTGAAAGCTTTGGTTAGCCTTGCCTTAGGTAATCCGCCTAGTTTACACTGTTTACAGGGAGTAGTTGAATTACTATAAACCATTAGCCACTTGTCTGTGCACCATTTATCACACCAGGGCAGGGTCTCTCAACCTGGGCACTACTGTCATTTGGGGCCAGGTGATTCTTCCTTGCAGGGAATGTCCTGTACCTTGTAGGACAGCAGCCCTGTCCTATAAGGTATGATGTTTAGCAGCATCCCTGGCCTCTAGCTACTTGATGCCAGAGCATCCTCCCCCTGCAGTCAGGACAATCAAAAAATGTCTCCAGACATTGTCAAATGCCTCCTGGGGGGCAGTATTTCTCAAGCACTTTTAAGCAAAGGTGAGTATTCATACAAGAAATTCAGGGGAAAAACATTTTTTAAATAAAAGCTATGTGTTCCTATTCAACAATATTTTTGCTTTAAAAGTCAGTAGAGGGCATAAAAGATGTCAAATTCAAATTTCCATTTCATAAATGGTATACAGACAAGGTCTATAGAATGTGGTAAAAACTTGACTGCCACACAAGGCTTATAAAATAGTAAGATAGTAAAATAACTTATGAAGAAACTACAGAGATTTAAAAATGTGCATCACTCATTTCAGCAGCAAAATAAGAACTCCTAACTGGACAGAAATTTTTCTAGCTAGCAATGTTATTTTTGTAAAATAGTTATCAAAAATTATCTTCAAAATGTGAAGAGTAAAGAAAATAAAGCCAATTTACTATAGTCACACAAGTGACTATACTAAAAATTGTTACAAAGTGTATAATTTTATAATGTATTTACCTGTCCTGATATATAGCTATAACCCAATATATGAAAATCTCAAAAATTAAGACATCATCATACAGAAGGCAGGATCCCTTAAACTGAGATCCCTGATCCATCTTTCATATTTCAATTTCCACACATAAAACAATTATATAAAATCTTTGTAGGACTATGCCCTTTTGTGTATGCATACCCATTTTAACCAATTTGAAAAGTTAATTTAAAATCTAGAGGTGAATGAGAAACATGGGGGAAAAGTGTGAAATAAGTGAAAATATTAACTATTTCTTTGAACTCTAAAGACTGAAACTGTAGCCATTATGTAAATATAGTTTCATATGTACCTGTTTATTTTGGCAGATTGTCAAAATATGAATGTATATATTGCATAACTATGTTAGAATTGTGTATATTTTAAAGAAATTGTCTTGGATATTTTCCTTTATACATAATAGATAAGTCTTTGTTCAAATGTGTTTGATGTTTTTGATTAAATGTGTTTTGCCTCTTTACTTTCCACAAAAACTATAAAAATAAATGCATGTTTGTATGAAAAGTTGCAGAATTCATCTGATTTACGAGAAACAAAAATTAAATTGTTGTCAACATAAACTAGTTAATAGCTTTTCTCATATACAAGTATAACAAACAGAAAAGTTTCATTAATTGTAAGCCACTCTTTTCATACCACATTATTGAATATTGTTACAAATGTCTGGAAAATAAAGTTATTTTCTTTGGGCTTTTACAAGTTATATATTTTACTATTTTTATCTTATACATTCACTTTGCTCACATCCAAGACTCAATTTAAGAAGACTGAGGCTATAATTTGCCATAGTTGTCCAGTCTATGTTTCTAGCAGTGACCACAGGATGTTTTGTAGGACTCTTAAACTGCCTTCAAAGTTTTGAGACTGCAGAAAGCATTGTTCCTCAAAGTGTGGCCCATGGACAGACGGAGCTGCATCACCTGAAGCCTGTTAAAAACACACATCTCAGGGGCCACTCAAAACTACTCAAGTCAAATTGGAAGTTCTACAGCATCCCCAAGTGATTCATATTGCATTGAAGTTGAGAAGCACGGCTCTAAAGCTCTAAAGCACAACTTACCTCTTGAAATAAAATGTGTGCTTTGAATAGAGAGGGAAAAAAAAATCAGCCAAACTGCTGCAACATGCAAAAGCAGAGTCATCTGCATAGTTGTTTTTTAAAAAAAATAGTAGTAAGCAGGAGGGTTTAAATATTTTTAAAGAGCATGCTGAAATAAATGTGCTGAAGTTATAAAATAAGTACACGTTGGGCTCACAGACTGCCATCGCTGTACAGATGGCAGAGTAATGCAAAGATGGGGTGGAAAGTGAGTGTGTGCTGCCATAAATAGTGATGCACCAGCATCTCCATTCATGTCTGCAGTGCTGTCTCACAGGCCTCCCTGCCCATCGCAGTTGTGTTGAGCCATCTCAGGAGGGCAGCTCACTGCAGCACAACCATCAATAAGTGCATCTGCTATATCTCTCACATTCAAATACAATCTTGGAGAGCTGAGTGTGGGAATTGCAGCTACTTGGGAGGCTGAGGCAGGGAGGATCCTTTGAACCCAAGAGTTCAAGGCCAGCAACATAATGAGACTCCCCCTCCGCCATCTCTTAAAAAAATGAAATGTTACAGAAAAAGAGCACTGCATTTTATTTCTTTTTCACAGAGCAGGTTAGGAAATGCTGTCAAAAGACCTGTATTAAAGCAATCATTTTGTCCCATAGAATTAACTGGAAAATAATTGTACACTTACTTTTTAAAAAGTACTTTTATTTATTCTACATCACTTGTTAAAAACTACAAATTGCATTTTTAAAAACTCCTTCCTCATCATCATCTTTTAATATTTTTAAAGTGTCAAAGATTGGACATCATCTTACACAAAATCAGGGCCTAATTTTCATTTAGGAACCACTACAGCCTGACTTTAAAGAAAATGGCTACTAAACTGAACTTTTGATTCTATGCAAAATTAAATCTAAGACTCAAGTTGCTAAACGCAACTTTACTGTAACTTTTACTATGGTCCTGGCTCTACCGCCCTCTGCTGGATGGTCCACCTAACTACATCACACAAATCATTCTTAAGAGAGCTCTTTACTGTGCCAGGTGCTCAGTAACTATGTAAGATGTCTAAATCACTAATTTCTCAAAAAAGATGAAAATATATTGTGACTCTATACATCATATCCAAAGGACAAAAATATCCACAAAATAAGTCACTCATTGAATATCTGCTGTTACTTTCATTTAAACATGATAAAAATCAATTTCATTTTACCACTTGTTCAAATACTTGAAACATAAAGAATTTGTATTTCCTATTTCTTGAGTGAACTTACCTAGCAATCATGCAAAGTCATGGCTTTAAAGTGACCATAAAACACTGCAAGCAATCTGATTAAAGGCTATTTTTTTTTATATATATATTACTCTTCCAGTTACTTGAAGACAAGTTACAGAGATGGAAAAGCTACGTATCAGAGTGATAGTAGCCCCTTAATACCTGAACCACCAATTAACTCTGCCATTCCTAAGTAAGCAAGGGTCAGGAAAGATCCTATCTAAGTCAAGTGCAATGCACTAAAATCTTTCAAGGCCATTCCATCCCAGTTCTGGCATGCCCCAGGTTAACTCCTTAACCTCTCTATTGTAGACTTTAAAAGCATAACAGTCTCAGTTCCAAACTTAGAATAAAGCCTACTTACTGAAAGTATGATTCTTTTAAATTATAAAGAATGTTCTATGTTCTTTAAAAACATAAGGAACTTCTAAAGAAATATTTAAGAAAATCTTGAAATCCACATATACCTATCAACACTGCATATGACAAAATAAACATCCATTTAACAACCTATGTACAAAATCCTAGAAATATCTACAGTGACCCAGTAACCCCATGATAATGTGCTTTCAGATATAATCAACAGCCACCACCCACCCCTGCTCTCCAATGGGGACAGGCTGAAGCTCGATGGCAAGCACAGAGTGACACTGAAATGAGAGGGTAAGGCTGAACCGAACCCGGCAGAGGAAACAGGCAACCCAAACCCGGCAGAGGAAGTAGGCGAAGGGTTTGTCTGCCCTTCCAGTATCCTTCTGGACCAATCTCTCCAGAAATAAGCATCAACTGATGTAACCAGGTGATTCCTAAAGTCAGTGTGGCTGTCCTGTGGGTCCCAGCCACAGATAAGATGCAGAGTGTTCCCCGAGGTATTTTAGGTTGGTAGAAAAAGATCACTGGGTGGGTGCCTGGCACAAAATAGTCATTCAATAAATATTTGTTGAATAAATGGATTCCTTAGGTAAAAGATGTTTTCACTAGATATAACAAAAAGGATTACTAGGTTTCTTATTTGCCCAAACATAAGAAAAAAATCCTTCAATCTAAGTGTCTGAAAGTATACCTTTTGTTCTTAATATGCAGAATGCAAATTTTGTGATGACAACTGCCCAAATTGTGCTAGTATTTTATTATTTTATGAGCTATATGTTTACTTGAAATTTGCTGAGAGTAGATCTTAAATATTCTCACCACACAAAAGAAGGGACTACGTGAGGTGAGGAATATGTTAATTAGCTGGATTGTGGTAATCACCTCACAATGTATATGTGTATCAAAACATCATATTGTATACTTTAAATATATACAATTTTTGTCAAGTATACCTCAATAAAGCTGGAAAAAAATTTTAAGAAATATATAGGACTTATATATACAAGTCTATCAAAATACTATAAAGCTTAACCAACTAAAAATTAGGGCATTGTTTACCTAAACATTTTAACACAAACCACGTAAATTTCCTAAAACACAAAATCATAACAGGTATTTATGACAATTTTGTCCTGATTTGTATATTGATACAAAATTAACAACTAATAAAAACAAAGTTTTCTGGTAAGATTAGAGATTCTAAAATCCCAGAAATCTCCATAGTAAGAACTATTTTAGGCAATTTAAAAAAAAAGAAAATACTATTTTTAAACTTTTGAAATCGGTTTTAGTTTATTATTTTTAATATATTTCTGAAAATATATATCAAGACTGTCTGATAATGATTTTTTAATACTTTCCAGTTCTGCCAACATTCCTGTCATGCATCCTTGATAATAACGCTCTCCCTGAACCCGGATGGCGGTGGTGAGGTGGGGCTGGTGGGGGAGTATCTTTCTGAGTCAGTCAAAGTCACTGAGGAGGGCCCATACCTCAATGTGAGTTTGAGTTACAATTAGAAATTAGTCATGGAAGGACATGTCTACCACAGACATCTTTCCTCGCTTTTAAATTATTCCATTTCTTTCCTACAGTCCTCCTTCTATCTTTAGTTCCATTTTAAATAACCCTTCATCCTACATATCCATTTATCTTGCTTCCGTTTTCTTCCTTTTGTCCCACTAGTATAACATAAGAGACTGTGCTTCAGTAAACTATCCTAATGTGGAGAGAAAAAAATCAAAATGTGATCAATGATCATAGTTTAACAAAGTTAAGATTGCAGGCTCTAAAAACTAAGTGATTAATTGTTGGATACCCAAAAGCACTCTTTGTTTCCTTTCCAAGATGATGACTCTTCATAAATTTCCTAAAACACAAAATCATAACAGGTATTAAAAATAGACCACTCTAATATATGAATATAAAATACATTTGAATAAATCAGGCAAACGAATATCACATCTATTTCAATGGCTCCTCTTTCAACAATCCATTAGACATTTGTATAAGGCACTGAGAGCAGAAAAATGAATGGACATGTTCTCTACATTTAAGGACTCTCAACACAACTGCAAAAATAAGAGACAAGAAGCTATAGCAAAACAGGGTACAACCACAGAAGGAAATAAACAATTAATTCTATTTGGGGTCATGATGAGAGACATCATGGGCAAGGTTACATAGGAGAAGATAGAAGGTTACATAGGGGAAGATACATAGAAAGTCTTTAGTTTCAAACATTTTTTTTCTTTCCAAACACACCTACTACTTCAACATTTCTAAATATGCTTTTCCAAAGGCAAATATCTTCATTAGCTGTTAAATTATGTCATCACCTCTCAGAAGGTCTTAAACAAGTTTGAGCTGCACTCTGGTACGAGTTGTTCTGTGACATATGCACTCTACCTACCTGCCACCCTTCCCTATATCACAGATGATCTCAAAGCACAGGCCAAGACTAGAACCAGACTAGAAGTTACATAGTTTGTAGAAAGAAGGGGTAAGAAAAACATATCACTTTTTCTTCTCACTCTCTAGTCACATTCCACTTCTGTGGGGAGAGGAATTCAAATTCAACGGTTCTCTGAACTCCTGCACTTCGTCCGACTCTCTATGGACAAACAAAAGCAAAATACGAAGCCCAGCCAGTCCTCAAAGCATGAAAACAAGAATATACCCCAACTCCTGCTCATTACCTGTATTTCTGGGGTTGCTCCCATCTACTTTCTGTCCACTGACTGCACACCCTTTCCTCCCTGGTAAAGAAAGCTACCCCTGCCTCTCGGGCTTGCAGCAGATCTTAGAATGCTCTTCCTACCTCTCCCTCTCTGGGGGTCTGCCTCCTGTTCTGTCAAAATTGTGTCAGCCTTGTTGATAGCAAGGGAACAATACATCTGAGCTTCACTAAGTTTCTTTTCACATATTTTATCCTCTAATCCCTATGTATTCTCTTACAACAATGGGCTTCGATTTTATTCTGAAAACACGGTCACCAAATTTCTCAGGCCCTGGTGATGAGTCCAACTTGCTTATTTCTACCACTGACCGAGGCAGGTCCCCTGAGAAGGAGGGGAGAAGTGCCCTTTAAACGCCTTGGCTCTCTGCTCTGGTCTTTTGATCTACTGAGCTGTTCATTAACCCTTCCGCTCTGCTGTCAGCCACAATGCTGAAGGCAATTCTAGACAATTCTAGACATTGAACGTGCAACCACAGAACAATCCCACTGTTCAGTGTTACTACACCAGAGGAGAAACGAGGGAGTTGGGCCTTTTCATCCCGTCAGAATGCTCTATTTAACCAGAGAATTACTTGCCCTTATTGACAGAAAACATGCCAGAAGTTCCTATTTCTGTTTTTAAACCCACTCACTGTGCATTTTCTCACAGGGAGCAATATCTCACCATTTTTTTTTTTTTTTTTCCTAAAAAGGACCTCTAGGAAAAGCCTCTTTCACCTTAAGGAATTTCTATTTTAGCCACCACCTAAATAGCTAATGCATTATTCTCACTCTCCAACAGAAAGATCCTCTAATTCAAGGGAATTACAATCCAAGAGAAATAACTTCATATATTAACCACTCCAACAGTCCAGACCAGGAATTCTCACTGTTACCACTTGTTGAGGCTTACTTTGTGCCATGCATTCTTTGGGGCACATATTTTTCATGCTTAACAAATCTTGGAAAGAAGATATTTCACAGATAAAGAAAACAAGATACTACAGTTAGTAAAAAGTCCATGAATATGGGGGGTTTTATCTAAAAATTCCTGAGAGAAATCAGGCCCACATGGTAAAATGTATTATTTTCTTAACTTACCTTTTTCCATATGGGCACCTTGGCTTTTAAAGTATCAATGGCATAGCTCACAGCTTCAAGAGATGCAGCTCTGTGGGCTGAGGACACAGCAATGATTATGCTTGCTTCTGACACTGGAACCAAGCTTTAACAAGATGAAGAGAAAAAATCACTATCACCTCTGAATCTATGTGTTAAAAAATCTGCTGGATAGATGGGAAAAAAAAAAAAATCCAGGTATGCAGTCTTAGAATTATACTGTAGTTCTATTTTACGTAAACATCCAGTTAGAAAAGAGTAGTTCATCGCAGTAGCATTCAGCAGAGGCAGCAGATGAAGCTGATGCTACAGCTAATTTGTTAGACTCTATCCACTAAACACTTCTGATGGGCACCAAGGGAAATCCTTTCACTGATACAGCAAATGCCTGACTCAAACAAACAAGGCACACTGCCAGGTAATGCCTAGAGATACAAAGTTATGTCCTAATGAGTATAATACAAAATTTAAAATAATAAATATCAAATAATAGGAGTGATAATATTAACCATTAATAAAACTACTGGTTATTAATAACAAACTAGTAACTAATAGAGTATGACAGATAAAGTCTCGATTACTGGCTTCTTTTTAAAGCCAAGAACTCTTTAGGGGAACAAAAAGGCAAACCACTTTAATGACTTTCAGAGGCATTTATATCAAAAAGAATCTGTCACAGATTGTCATATAAACAGACTCCAGACCACAAAACAACTCTCAAAAGGCCTCAAGGCCTTTAGCACACATTAGCACAGGCCCGTAGGCCAAGGGCCTGAAAGTCTTGGCATAGGTGCACTTTGTTATAGTAACAGAGGCAACAAGAACTCTCCCAATATCAAAACCCACCAGGCAGTCACTAAAGGTACTAACAGCCATCCCTATTGTCCTCCAAAAATAATACGTGAATGTTCCTGTCATAGTAATACAGAATTCCTAAGAAAGATTCAAGAATCAGAGTTAGTACAAAGATGGAAAACAACTATACTTAACTTTGAAATTGATAAAAGGAAATCATACCCCAGTCTATGGAACACTGCTATGTGTTTGACTGGCCATTTCTGCCTAATGTCACTACAAATCTTTTTGACTTCGTTTTTCGCCATGGGTAGGTACGCTTCATATTCTAAGCTAATGACTTTCTTCCCTTCAAAGTTATTTCTTGTAGTCCCTTTAAAAATAAAAAAAATAGAAAGAAAAAGAAAACAATTAAAATAAGATTTTTCCCTACAAAAGAAATAGTATGTTAATAAAAAAGGATTATTTTTAATAGTAAACAAGCAGCATACCAATTCTTCTAAAACTACTTTGAAATCTTCTAAAAACCCAATTTGATTAGGAAAATAAAACAGATAATCACAAAGATGATAAGGAAATAAAACAGCACTGATTAATCAAGCTTATTAAAAACACTCACCTGGCAAAGCAGGCAATATTCCTCTTCTGACTAACAGATACTTAAAAGGAAAATATTTATGTTCCCAGGACTATCAAGTACATTTTTACCTTCAATTTTGGAAAATCTAGAATTCTCTCTCCTAACAATGACTTTCATCCTACTTTTCAAAATGCCTTGTAATTTAATACAGGTTAATTTGAAGGTTACTAAAACAAAACAAGAACTACAAAAAAAGTCTACCCACCATCATGGGTAATCTTGGTTTAAAGTTCAGTATTTCAAACTCCTCCGTTAACACTGAACATGGAAAGCACGTGGTAATTTCTATTGTCTTGTGCAGTGATAGATGCAATGAAAATTAACACTCACCTACAAATAGAGATACTGCACCACAGAGCGGAGAAATCACCAACTGTGAGACTTCATCTACTGAAAGTTTCTCGGCAGTAAAGTTTATAACGTCTTTAGATTTCTCTTCAACTTCTTCTATATCTTTCCTAGAAATAACACGTTAGTAAACCTTAACAAAAGTCCTAGGGGTAAAACACTCAACAACTTATAGGCTCTTTCAATTTATTTTTTTTTCTACATTATGTCGATGTAAAAAGAAGAGGTTGTGGCACAAAATATAAAGCGTTTACATGAGCCAAGACAAGGATAGTGGGCCAGGATACTTCTAAGATACCTCGGGGAGTTCCCTTGGGGAGCATTCCCTCAGCCTTTGTTGCAAGCAGGTTTTTAAAGGCAAAGGGAACAAGAAGTGGGCTGATACAATGATACAAAGTTTCACCAAGAATTCTCACAGGCGTACAGAGATAATGTTGATCACGGATTGGCTGTACACTGTTGAACTATAGGGTGGGTATAAGTTAGAGTGTCCAGCATATGGATTTTATGGTTTCTTAGCTTCAGCTAGTCTGCAGCCCTCATAAGCGGATTCAAGGGACCAGTGGCTCACACCTGTAATCCCACCACTTTGGGAGGCTGAGGCGGGTGGATCATTTGAGGTCAGGAGTTCGAGACCACCCTGGCCAATATGGTGAAACCCCGTCTCTACAAAAAATCCAAAAATTAGCCGGGCAGTAGTGGCATACGTCTATAATTCCAACAACTTGGGAGGCTGAGGCAGGAGAATTGCTTGAGCTTGGGAGGTGGAGGTTGCAGTGAGCTGAGACTGATAATGCCATTGCACTCCAGTCTGGGCGACAGAGTGATACCCCATCTCAAAAAAAGGAAAAAAGAAAAAAAAAGGTAATGATGCAGCTTAAGAGGGAGTGACATGACTGCCATTTCATTCCAGTGCCTTTTGGTGCCTCTTAATTTAATGTTTTATCTGAGGGGCTCACATTCCTCAGATAAAAAGTTTCTTTCCTTTTTTTCCCGACCATTAGATGTGTCAGGAGGCATGATTTGATCTGAATGATAAAAATAAGCAAGCGTAAAAATTAGCAAAACTCAATTATGTATATAAATATTCATAATGGATCAGGCATGACATAAAAAGTAATCCATCATTAACATGATCACTAAAATATAATCTATCTCAATGCCAATATATTCCAAATTCTGTAATTGCTATTCACATCTCCCATCAAGGTACAGTGGAGGTTACTGCCACTTTCACCTACACGCCCATCCCCTCTCACCACTGTGGTACCAAGCACTACACCTAAAGCTGCCTTTTTCTTTATCCAACAAAAAAGGGAGAACAGAAGTGACAGTGATTCTACCGGAACTGGGTTCCCTTCACACCTGGCAAAACCCCAGGTAAGTAACTGAGGAAATAAGGGAATGAACTGCACACTTATTTAACAGGTATTGTGCAAAGCCCTTTGCCATGCATTTCTCATTTAATTCCTCAAACATTACTACATCCTAAGGGCCAGAGACTAGGGCCAGGCACTAAGTATCAACCAGGGGAAAGAAGCACAAGCTCCTTTCCTCAGGGTGCTCACATTCAAATAGGAGAAACGAAGCATTACAGGAGAAACTCAGAATTACAAATAGGGATAACTCATGGAAATAAACAAGCTTCAGGGACAGAACCTGGGGTCTGGGGGAGATTTCTCTCAAGAGGCCGTATGAAAACTTGCGACCTGAAAGATAAGGAGGAAGTCTTGTAAAGAAACCAGGGCACAGGCCCCCAGGCAGAGAGAGGGAGTGGCCAATGCCAAGGCTCTGGGACAAGAAAGGGTGTGATGTGCTCCAGAACCTAGAACGAACGGAGAGAACAGGACAGGCTGAGGCTGAACAGATAGGCAGAATCTTGCAGGCAATGAGGAATATAATTATTAATCCTGTAAGATTTCATCTGAACTGAAAGATGAGAGAAAGAAGGCTCAGAGAAGTTAAGGAACTCACTCAACGTGCTGAAATTCCAACCAAAGAGTCTTAGTTAAGCCAATGTTCTTTTTCCTATCTCCTTTCCACCACGGAAACAGCACTATTCTTTATATATCACTGGATTCCAGGATTTTTCATCTGCTGCACAAGCCACCTAAGTGTCTTCCACCTCTTTTCCTTGCAAGAAAATATAGGTAATATAAATATGATCTATGAGCTTCAAACCATACTGAGTTCCCACAACTTCTGATTTTACAAGACTACCTAAAGCTAGCTGGCAGGTTTTAAAAATGCATAATGCCAGTCTTGCCAAACACATTAAAGTAACACACAATGCTTTTGAGTAATCTTCGTAACCTTTTCAAAGAACAGCTGTAATTACCACAATACCCCTTTAATGGCAACCTATAGTTTTCTGAATAAATTCCAAATTCCAAAAAATCCAAATTCCACCTCCTGAAATCATGCTGGTGATACGGTGACCACAGTTTCTAAATAGCATTGAGATACATATCTGACAACAGATTCTTCTACTGTGTCCAGATAGTAGGCCTGAGAAAGAAGCCTGGTGTCGACATGAGGGGCAATCTGCTTTACAGATTGATTCTTCATTTCTTGTGGCATTGCCCTCCAGGAGGGTGAGCAAAAAATGGGTAAAAAAGATAAAAAGCCATCCTTGACTTGTTCCTTTCTTTAATAGAACCAAGTTTTTGCCATTAAGTATGATACTTACTCCTGATTTTGAATAAAAATCCTACCAAATTAAGAAAGTCTTCTTTCATTCCTAACTGACCAAGAGTTTTATTCAGGGATGACTGTTAATTTCTACTGAATTTGTTCTTCAGTCGACAATAAATTATGCCTTATTCTGTCTGTACTTATAAGAAGCCTGATCTCTCCAGACTCTACTGAACAATGTTCTTGAACATTATCCGACTTGAATATGGACTAAGTTGTTTAGAAAGATGACAAGGTAGCATGGGTCGAAGAGCCACCAGCAACAAAGCCATAACAATAAACCTATTTTCCTTTAGTCCTGGACTATGGTAAGCTTTCTTTTCAGGTATTACTAGCTGTGTAATTTTTCTACATTTCTCCGTGGCCAGGAAAGCTATCATCTAGTATTAGTAAGTGTGGTTGGAAAAAAGTACAGAGACAGTCCAATAATATGAGTTCAAATGTTGTCTCTTGAAAAGCTCTTGAATCCTCAGCAAAAAGAACAAAGCTGGAGGCATTACGCTACCCAACTTCAAACTATACTACAGGGCTACAGTAACCAAAACAGCATGGTACTGGTACAAAACAGGACACATAGACAAACGAAACAGAACCCAGAACACAGAAATAAAGCTCCACAGCTACAACTATCTGATCTTCGACAAATCTACAAAAACAAGCAATGGGGAAAGGATTCCCTATTCAATAAATGGTGCTGGGATAACTGGCTAGCCATGTGCAGAAGACTGAAACTGGACCCTTTCCCTACACCATATACAAAAATTAGCTCAAAATGGATTAAAGACTTAAATGTAAAACTGAAAACTAGAAAAACCCCGGAAGACAACCTAGGCAACACCATTCTGGACATAAGAACAAGCAAAGATTTTGAAAGCAATTGCAGCAAAAGCAAAAACTGACAAATGGGATCTAATTAAACTAAAGAGCTTCTGCACAGCAAAGGAAGCTGTCAACAGAGTGAACAGATAACGTACAGAATGGGAGAAAATTTTGCAAACTATGTGTCTGACAAAGGTCTAACATCAGCATCTCTAAGGAATTTTTTTAAATTTATGAGAAAAAACAACCCCATTAAAAAGTGGGCAAAGGACATGAACAGGAACTTTTCAAAAGAAGACAATCATATGAAAAGAAAGCTCAACATCACTGATCATTAGAGAAATGCAAATCAAAACCACAACGAGATACCATCTCACACTAGTCAGAAGAGCTATTATTAAAATAACAGATGCTGGCAAGGATGTGAAGAAAAAGGAATGCTTATACACTGCTGCAGGGAGTGTAAATTAGTTCAATCATTGTGGAAGACAGTGTGGCCTAGAGACTGAAATACATTCAACCTAGCAATCCCATTACTGAATATATGCCCAGAGAAATATAATTGTTCTGTCATAAACACACATGCACACGTATGTTCACTGCAGCACTATTCACAATAGCAAAGACATGGAATCAACCTAAATGCCCATCAATGGTAGACTGGGTAAAATAAATGTGGTACATATCATATACACCATGGAATACTATGCAACCATAAGGAAGAACCATAAGGAAGAACCATCCATGTTTTGCAGGAACATGGATGGAGCAGGAGGCCATTATCCTTAGCCAACTAATGCAGGAACAGAAAACCAAATACCGAACGTTCTCACTTATAAGTGGGAGATAAATATTGAGTACACATGGACACAAAGAAGGGAACCATAGACACCGGAGCCTACTTGAGGGTGGAGGGGGGGAGGAGGGAGAGGATCGAAAAAATAACTGATGGGCACTAGACTTAATACCTGGGTGACAATATAATCTGCACAAAAAACCGCCACGATACACGTTTACCTATATAACAAACCTGCACATGTATTCCTGAACTTAAATAAATTCTTTTTAAGTTGGCTCTTTCACTTATTAGCTATGTGATTAGCTATGTGATCAAAGGCAAGGTTTTTAAGTCCTCTGAATTTATTTTTCCACCTGCAAAATATGGATATTAATATGTCACTGTGCCTGACACGTAAGATCTCAATAAACCATGTTAAATGAAACATATCAAACTGATATGTCTATTGTAATTAAACAGCTTACAACAGACTTGATGCAGAGATGGTGGTAGATATTCATAAATTTATTGGCACCAGTGAAGAGTTGCTGCATCAATAAAGATTTGGTACAGAGAGACTTACAAAGAATACACATTAACAGCAAACCACATACACTTTATCATCTGTATGATCCTTCCCCACACAACTGATTAAGAAAAACACATCTCACGTACCTAGACGGCTCAAAAGCACTATCCTCCACTAATGGGGGGGATAACGGCAATTTCGTCTCCCGGTTGAAGCAGGAGGAGCTGATCTCCAAGCTCGACATATTCTTGACGAACAGCAAATATTATCTGATTTCTAATATCAGCCAATCTAAAGGGGAAAAAGTATGACTCAAAGTATCAATGCTATGATAGACCTCAAATCTCTTCAGCTGCAATTAGAGATATTACCTAGATATAATTATATAAAGCATCACCTGTAAAATTACCAATTAAATTTACACATAGTATATGGAGAAAGGACATATCCACTAAAGAACATACTTATACACCACAAAGATACGTTAAACTGCTGCTGTCAACTCTTTATTGGACGTTGCATGCCTTGGGGAATTAAACAACAAAAAAATGCACAAAAAACCCATCAGAGTGGAGGCAACACTCAAACCAGGTCAAAAGAAAAGTTTCCGTACATGGCCTTTCCAGTGTTCTTCTATCAGTACATGGCCTTTCCAGGATCCTTCTATCAGTACATGGCCTTTCCAGGATCCTTGTATCAGTACATGGCCTTTCCAGTGTCCTTCTATCAGTACGTGGCCTTTCCAGTGTCCTTCTATCAGTACATGGCCTTTCCAGTGTCCTTCTATCAGTACATGGCCTTTCCAGTGTCCTTCTATCAGTACATGGCCTTTCCAGGGTCCTTCTATCCATGTGTACAAGCCTAAGTATAGCTGCCCACAAACTACGCCTGTACACATTATCCTACTCAAATATGGATTAAGTTGCTTAGAAAGATGAAAAGATGGCATAGGTCATAGAGCCACCTGCAACACAGCTTTACTAGCTGCTCCTTTATACCTGAACAACCGTAAGCTTTCTTTTCAGGCTCAGTGAAAATGTATACAAGACCAGCTGTCTCCCTCCAGGTAAAGCAGAACAGGAGATTCCACTGTGTTTCATTGTTTCATTGATTATCAGGCCACTGTAAGGGCAACTTAAAAGATACGAAATCATGAAGTAGTTTGCTTTTAAACATATATTGTGGAGTATCTTTTACACAGAATTAGGCTTAAACAAATATACAAGCTTAAGTCACACAATGAATATTCCTGAATCACCCTCAAATAAGTCACTTTTATATTTTGTTTCAAAAAGAACTTGAAGTGGGAATGACAGAAGTAAAATTATAGCTTTTCAAGAACCAGAAAAAAAAATTAAATATTACAAAAACTCAAATTCAGCAGCATCTAGCATTTGTTGTAACTCATTTTTCTTTTAATCTTAGAAATATCTATGTTGAGCTCTCTAAAGAGAGGGAGAACAAAATGTTTAAAGCACACATTTTTAATGGAATTTGTAACAAATTCATTTAATGTTATAAAATTGCAGAAGTGACATGTGCAGTGTTTTGTAAATCATTAAAGAGAATATAATCATATCCCTCTGGGGTTCACTGTGTTTTGGGGTAAAATATCTTTAACCTTTCTTAAAATACAGTGCATATTTAGAGTTTTTCAGTAGTTCCAAAAAAATACAACTAACGATTCTTTTTGACATTAAGCACGGAAATCAAAATTAACCTTATTTTTACTTTTATCATTTATGCATTTTGAAAATATTTAAGTGTTACTCATATGCATTCTACAAATGTTTCACTACCCAGGATGTCGAGTTTCTATCTCCTTCCACAACTGCAACGCTTTTATTTCTTGCGGCACAGAAATGGTCTCTGAATGAACTCCTGTTATTTCAGCACTTTTTGCAAAATACAATACTACAACCTGAAAGAAAAAAAATGCTTTTAATAACAACTCATACTCGTTTTCTGACTGTCAATGTTGAGCAGTTTTCTCATTTTCCAAATGTATTGCTTTAATCAAAGATAAATTTTATAAAGAAAACTAAATAACCCGTAAAAAATTTCATTATATCTACAAGTTCAAATTCTAAAAACTTGTTGTTTTAAAAATAATTCAGACTAATTTCTGGATGCCTTTTAGTTTTATAAACTTAAGTGTGGCATCATTAAAATCCGAAGTATTTATCTTCTATGAAAACATGTTAAGGCTGTCTTTAATTGACATAAAAGTATAGCACCTTTTATAAACATGTAAGCAAAGAACAAATGTCTGAGTCAAGAGATGAGTTACACAAATAAAATAAATGAACAAATAAGCGAAAAACCTGTTTCTCGCGGTTGTCAAATGACCTTAGATTCCGGTCTGCATAACACTGTCCCCGACGCTAAGGATTAAGTTATGCAACATAGTAAATCTGACATTTACAGAAGCAAGTAGGTTTGAAACCCAGGACAGGCGGGTATTTGCTAGAACAAAGTTGTGCCAGCAGCCTGGTATGTAAGGGATCCGACGAAGTAAAATAGGCACCTGTCACTCCGTGCAAACTACTCTTTACGAAATAATTACAGGTTTGCAAATAATCAAGGATGTGGAAATCTACAGATGAAGCGGAAATGAGGTGCATTTCTTTTCAGATTAAAATTTTAGCTTCATCAAAACGAATAATCTGGGAAAGAGGTGGCCACAAAAGGTCGAGGCGCCTTCAGAATGAACCCGTCCTTGTTGCCGTGAGCGGACAGGAGTTCTCGGAGTGGACCCGACTTCTGCTGGGGCAGCAGCAGCAGCAAAGTCCGGAGGGCCCTAGGGCGGGGGCGTCCCCAAACCGAAGACGCCGGCCAGGGTGGGTGTGAGTTGGGGGCTAGTGGGGAGGTCCGACTGACCAGGGCTGGGTCTGTGGAGGGAAAGGGCGGGAGAGACACGTCGAGGAGGGTTCCGCACCCAGGCCCTCACACACACCCGCCACCCTTACCTGGCACAGCGGCACCATCCCGCCCGGGACAGCAAGACCAAATTACAGCCGCAGACGCGCAGGCGCGGGTCCTAGCCGGAGCGCAGGCGCAACAGGAGGGCGCTCGGCCCCCGCCTACTCCTTCACGGAGCATGCGCACAACTAGCTCCGCCCCGCGCCCGGCTCTAGCTGTTTCACTCTGGCGGACTGTTCTACGCGTGGGTTAATGTTGCTTCTCAGATGCGTCTTGGCGGTGAGAGCAAGCAATCAGTATGGAAATGGAGAAAGGGCTGACCATGTATGTCCTCCCCAGGAAGGAGGTCGTGGTGTAGGCGAGCAGAGGCCAGACTCCCGTGGACACTTGCCGCCTGCGTTATGGAGGCTTAGCTAATAACCTTGCAGGGGCCTTCATGCTTTTCCACTCCCTCACCTGTAGGGTTCTGACACTTACCCACGGTATGTGAACCTCGAAAATTTGAGACAGGTCTCAGTTAATTTAGAAAGTTTATTTTGCCAACTTTGAGGACATGCCCTTGACACAGACTAAGGAAGTCCTGAGGATATGTGCCCAAGGTGGTCGGGGCGCTGCTTAGTTTTATACATTTTAGGGAGACAGGAGACATCAGTCAATATGTAAAAAGTACATTAGTTCCTTCCAGAAAGGCAGAGACAACTAAAAGCAAGCCCCTCCGCCCCCCCCCCGCCCCCCCCGCCAACTGGGGACTTCCAGGTCACAGGTAGGTAATACACAGATGGTAGTATTCTTTTCAGTTTCTGATAGTCTTTCCAAAGGAGGCAATCAGAATATGCATCTATCTCGGTGAGCAAACGAGGTGACTTGAATAGAATGGGAGGCAGATTTGCCCTGGGCAATTCCCAGTTTGAAGGGGCCCAAGATATTTTTCTTTCACAGGTATATGATTAGTGGGGCCCAAGATATTTTTCTTTCATAGATATATGGTTAGTGTTTCTTAAAGACTTGGAATATCCGCCTGGTCAGAACATTCGAACTGTTATCACTTTTCCTGTTTACTGGCCGCTCGGTAATTGTCTGTATACTGTCCATCCAACTTTCCCAATTCTTGCCAACAAGAACTCTTGGCTTTAAATTGCTTGCATTATTAAGTGAATGTAAGTTACACGTCCCTTTCCTTGGAGCTCACAGTCCTGGGTAGGAGAGTTTTAAATATGAATGATAATTCCCTGTAATACTAAGGATATGTATCATTTCAAAGGTGGAAGGGGAAAGTAGTTGTGTCACGTTGGGAGTGTGCTCTAGTAAGTCTCACTGAGAAGATGCTGGAGATAAATCTGCTAGAATAGTGGCAGTAAATGACAAGAGTGGGAGTAGAGCATGAGGAAATTTCACTTGCCTCTGACAAGCCACAGGGATATGAGGAAGCATAATGAGTTCACGGAAGCGCAAGTAGTTGGCAAGACAGATGTGCCTCCAGCAAAGAAGGAGGTGATGAGAAGTGAGGCTGGAGAGTCCTTGGTAGAAAAAATTGACAAGGAGCAGTTAATACCAACTTATATCCTGGTAAAGTTGCTAAACATCAAGGATAAAGAATTATATTCACACCCAGGCATAAAAATCAGGGAATGATGATAGTGGCCTTAACACTCCTCAGTGGCATCTGATGCCAGCAGGTGGCAATGTGCAGTACGTAAAAAAGGCTGAGAACAAAAGCGTGACCCCATAATATTACATACAGCGAAGTAGTGGGTCATGATTCTCCTAAATCAGCAAAAAATCAAAAAGTATAATACCCAAGAACGCTTTTTAAAAATCCTTCTTGGGCAACACATCCATTCAATCAAGAGTAATCAAAGTAAATAACTCAACAATAAAGGTATTAATGGGAAAAATGAAAAACTAAAAAAAAAAAACTATCATTGAAATTTTAATCCATTCAAACAAAACTAAGACATCAATTATGGGATTATGATTATAAAATAAAATGTAAATGACATCAGAATATTTTTAAAAATGGAAACTGTCCAAAGTGGGAACACATAGTTACAAAATATCAATTCAGGTTTCTTAATATTTTTCGTAATCTTCTTTATTTCAGAAAATATTTTAGGAGCAATTATCTCTTACAAATAAACAATAATCTGATAATTTGTAATCCTGTCAGTTTCACCAGTTATTTTGTTGATAATTTCAAGTAAATGTATGTCAATAATATTGTCTTGCTTTCATTTTTTTATTTTCTAATTCCTAATGAGGTGAATCTTTTCATATTTTCATCGGGCACTTATACTTCTCTGTGAAGTTTCTGTTCACGTTGTTTATTCATTACACTGTAGATATGACACAGTTCTTTTTTTTTTTACAAAATCCAGCCTCATCTATAATTTGTGGATATGCAATCAAAACTGATACCAAAAAATTCCAGGCTTATTCCATAAGCTTTGATTTTATTTTTCTTATGAATTCATTAATTAAATCAGTGAATCATCACAATGGTATATAAAGTATTTTAGTAATAAGAAAATGACTTTATGAACATTTGCATTTCACTTAAGCTACAATTTTTTGTGAAAACATAATTGGAGCCACCATTTTCCCAGTTATTTTTATGATAAGGAATCCTATTTGGTTAAGAAAAAAAACAAGTTGAGGCAAAAACATTTCCATTTTGCTTTCAGATTAAAAAAGATGAGATTCCATGAGACTAGAAATGTAGGAGCATCTCAGACCTTCACAGAAGGCTCTATTAGAAGATCAGAAACATAACTTTGCTTGTGAGAGTTGAAGCCAGCTGGACTTCCTGGGTTGAGTGGGGACTTGGAGAACTTTTCTGTCTAGCTAAAGGATTGTAAATGCACCAATCAGCAGTCTGTAAAAACAAACCAATCAGTGCTCTGTGTCTAGCTGAAGGATTGTAAACACACCAATCAGCACTCTGTAAAATGGACCAATCAGCACCCTGTAAAATGGACCCATCAGCAGGATGTGGGTGGGGACAAATAAGGGAATAAAAGCTGGCCACCCCAGCCGGCAGCAGCAACTCACTGGGGTCCCCTTCCATAAGCTTTGTTCTTTCACTATTCACAATAAATCTTGCTGCTGCTCACTCTTTGGGTCCATGCTACCTTGAAGAGCTGTAACACTCACCGTGAAGGTCCGAGGCTTCATTCTTGAAGTCAGCGAGTCCAAGAACCCACTGGAAGGAACCAACTCCAGACATACTTGTAGTAGCAAATTATCAAAAACATTCATTGTGTTTTCTGGAAAACAATTTTTCCCAGAAACACCTGGCAGAATCAGAGTTCATTGTGTCAAAAGAAAAATGTTAGACAAATTAAAATAAGCAAAAAACAATTTGTGAATTGAGTCCCTCTCCCAACCATAACAGGTTCAAAGAGACTCCAGTGCTGCCACATGATCAAAGAATTATGGACAAAAAAAGCAAATAAATTATAGGAAAAGAAAATGAGGTACAGAAACAGCTGGATTGGTTACAGCTTGGTGTTTACCTTACTTGAAGAGGGTTTTAACAGTTGGCTGCCTTTGATTGTCTGCAACACAGTGATTGGTATAAGAGTAGGTTACAGCCTGTTTACACATCCAGTTAGGTTACAGTTCACTGTGTGTTGAGAAACCTTGAGGCCAAACTTAAAATTTGTAAAGAAGCAGCGTCAGGGATTTAAAAGTTATTAGATGTTCCATCAGTTGTTTCACCAATAGGTAATAGGTTTTTTTGGTTTTGTTTTCTATGCTATTAAAATAGTATATAAAACTTGCCACCATTGATTCTGATTTATTATGTTACAGTTCAGTCTCTAATTGAACTGAGCCTATTTTTTTTCCCTAAAATCCAACCTATTCATCCATATACACAGATTTTTAAAAAAATCTAAATATTTTATATCAAATTGCCAAAAATGTTTAGTCACATTCTTTTTCTATTGCTGCCCATATATTTTCTGCCGTCATTTTCAGCTACTAAATAGTATCTAGTCCTAGATATCTGGTAGACCATTATCAGGAACTCTTCGTGAAATGCTTCAGTGACCTTGTTTAAGTCAATAATAAAGTTGAGGTTTATAATCATATTCTATGACAAAAAAAAAATACAGGTAATAGATTTTCAAATCTCAGCCCATGTCTACTCCTTTATTTCCCAGTGTGGCAGAATTTTTGAGCAGTGAAAATATTTCTATCTGAGGAAGTTTGGACTATGTGGTGTGAGATCCGTAGACACTGAACTGATGTCATTAACATATTTTAATATTTAAATTCCTTATCAAAAAATAGATGATGCGGTAGTTACTTTTTGAAGGACTACTGAAGCAGGATATTTCCCTGACCCCTTCATGGGACCCACGACAGAGGTTCCTTGTTTATTCAGCCTGCTGCCCACAACTCCTCATGGGAGGGAGCACACAAGTGAACAAGGGTGAGGACTGGAGTGCACCAGCACTGGAACAACCCAGCTGCTTCAGCGCTGGTGGGATCAAACTCCACTCACTTGGACACACTGTGTTCCACCCCTCGTGGGAGGGAGCATGCAGGTGAGAGGATGCAGGAGTCAGGGTGAGCACTTTTGGGCTCCAGCAGGAGCAAACTCTGTGCAGGGCCCTGCAGCAGTGACTGAGGGGCTGCCTGTGACTCCCAAAGCCTCAGAGGATGCGTTACAGTGCCCTTTTAGCTCTGCCATCCGTAGGTGGCTTAAATGTAAACAGCTCAGTGCGCCCTTTGCCTTTTCGCATGAGGCAGCTGCCCTCCACCAGCAAGAGTAAAGGGCCAGTGTCACAGCCTTTTGTATCTGCACTCATGGCTCCTGAGCTCTTGTCCTGCATCCAGGAAAAATGAGGTTACACAAAAGAATTGAAGGATGGTAAATGTGGGATATTTTATTTCCAGTGAAAGTGGCTTTCAGCAGGAAGGAGAGCAGAAAAGGGGATGGGCTGGGTAGGTAATCTTCCCCTGAAGTCCTGCCATCTCTGGCTGGATTTTTCTCCAAAGTTACACCGTCAAAATGTCCCTCTGAAATCAAGCCACTTCTCTCTGACATCCAGCCGTAGTCCCTCACGTCCAGTTGATTCTCCTCTCTGCTGGCTGAGTCTGTGGTCTTCATAGCACAGGATGGCGGGCAGGGTGGGCCATGAGTAGTTTAGGAAAAAGCAACATTTGAGCAGACAAAAGGGAGAGAAGTTCTCACTTTGGGCTGTGGTTTCAGGCTTTTTGGCTTGAGGGTGGGGTTTTGTCAGGGACCCTCCCTTTTCTGCCTAAAATTTCTCTGCCTCCTGCCTCTATCATTGTATCACTTGTTTGAAGTAAACCCATCTGGAATTACTGATTTTAACAAATCACACAGAATTTCAAACACCTTTCTATGCAAATGACTTGTGAAGACATAGAGTATAGTATGCTGTTAACAAACAGCCCAGCAGTGTGCCTTGCACCTTGTAGGTGTACAAAATATTGTTAAGTCAATTTTATAAATGAAGGAGGTAACTTTAAAATGCTACATCCATGTTGCATAATTTTATTCATCGATCATTTTGAATAAAAACAAAAGCCAGAATAAACCATATGTATTGTACTTGTTAGTTTATTAAACGAAATTTAGGTCAAAAGCAGCACACCTCCTTGTGGTTGGTTATTCCAACTGCAAATCATTCACCTTAAAATGAAAGAACATGGCTACAGGAGCTTTTTTTCAAATATGATCTTCACTGATCATTTTCTAAAATGTATATATCAAATCCCCCAGTTTCAGATGCCAGAGGAAAGCCAGATCTTGAAATTTCATTTCTGCAAAAATCTAAGATATCTACAAAAATAGATTTTAGAAACAGAAAAATATACCACACAGATGTTGTTGAACCATAAAAAACAAAGCTTTATTTATTTTTTTTTTTTTGAGATGGAGTCTCACTGTCACCCAAGCTGGAATGCAATGGTGCGATCTCAGCTCACTGACACAGCTGCCTCCTGGGCTCAAGTGATTCTCCTGCCTCAGCCTCCCAAGTAGCTGAGATTACAGGCGTGCGCCACCACACCCGGCTAATGTTTTTGTAATTTTAGTAGAGACGGGGTTTCACCATGTTGGCCAGACTGGTCTTGAATTCCTGACCTCAGGTGATCTGCCCACCTCAGCCTCCCAAAGTGCTGGGATTACAGGCATGAGCCACCGCTTTTAAGGAGCATATTGTGGGCTCTAGAAAGCTCCCAACACTGCCTTTTCAGATGTGTTAAGAAGGAGAGCTGAGGAAAAAAGTCTGCAATATCTCACCAAAGGGAAGTTGGTGAAGCAGAAGTCTTCATCAAAATAGAAATAAGAACTGAGGCAGTGAAGGTAAGAAAGGGCCTGAGCCCAGAGTCCTTGGTGGACGGCCCGGGTAACGTTCTTCTAATCTTAACAGTGCTCAGTGAGGAAGCCAGACCCACCTTTTATTAGCCTTTCAGCTCTGATTATAGAAATGATTAATGCCTGAGTATAGGGCAAGAGTATAAACTGAGCTACATCTCCTTAAAAGTAGCAGAATTCAGAGGTCCAAGTTGAACTAAGGATTGAGGATTATCTGAATCTCAGGTTTATCCCTGGACTGAAAGAGAATATACCTGGCGATATGATGTGTTGTGAACTGCATGTCTGTGTCCCCCCAAAATACACAGGTTAAAATCCTAACCCCCAACCTGGTGGTATTTGAAGGTAATTAGATCATCAGGGTAGAGCCCTTATGAATGGGATTAATGTCCTTATAAATGCGACCCAAGAGAGCCTGCTTACACTGTCTTCCATGTGAGGATACTGCAAGAAGTTGTCCATCGGCAACTTGGAAGAACCCTCACTAGAACCCAACCATACTGGCACCCTTATCTCAGACTTCCAGTCTCCAGAGCTGTGAGAAATAACTTTCTGTTGTTTAGAAGCCAACAGATCTATAGTACTTTACAATGGCAGCCCCAACGAAGACACTAAGTAAACCCAGGCCGAAGACCTTTAACAAAACTGCAAATGAGAAACAGCCCAGTTTGGCTAATGGAGGATGTCTTCCAACTCTGTTCTCACCCTACCCCATGCCCTTGGGCTACAGATAATTCTTTCTTCGCTGCACTTCAGGGGTCAGCACAATTTTTGGTAAAATGCCAGACTGTAAATATTTAGACTTCCCAAGCTGTGTGATCTCTGTCACAACTACTCAGCTCTGCTATTGCACATGAAAGCAGCCAGAGGCAAAGAGCAAAAGAGTGAGTGTAGCCCTGCTTCAGTGAAATTATTTGCAAAAAGAGGAGATGGGCCAATTTGTCCCACAAGCCGTATTTGCTGGCCCTTGCAGTATAGTTCATAAAGGAAAAGAGAAAAGAAGTAAGGGAGAATTCAGCCACATTACCAACAGGATAACCAGGTTTGGACAAATAAGTTTCAGTAAAAAGAGAAACAAATGGGAAAAACATAAACCAGTGTAAGGAGGGAAAATATATATTTCAGCCCCAAATAAATAAAACTAATGTGAAAAAGACAGTGTGCAAATAACAGATAAAAGGATATGTTCTAGTACAAAGCAAACCTCCTCCCAAAGGGAAAATTCCCTACTGTACTTCACACCCCAAGAGTTTACAAGGACACTAATTTGTATAAGAAGACTTTGAGGATAAGATAAAATCATAACATAGAAATAACAGGTTATAAGAAAGTGTTAAGGACTAATATGATACGATTACAGAAGCAAGCAATAAATAAATCAGAAAGAGGAAAGAATGCCGCAAGTTGTAGAGACTCATTATTGCTTGAGAACAGCACTGTCCAGAAGAACTTTCTGCAGTGATTGTGATGTTCTGTAACTGCACTGTTCAATGCAGTGGTCACAAGTGCCTACTGAACACTTGAAGTGTGGTTAGTGGAGTCAAGGAATTGAATTTTAAACTTTATAACTTATTTAATGAATTTAAATTCAAATAGTCACACATGGCTAGCAGCTATTGATTCAACTGCAGTTCTGGAGGAAACACTGGAGTCAATTTCAACGAACACGGAAAAAAAGAAAATAGGTTAAGCAAATACAGATAACATGATAAAGGGAGAATAGATACAAAACCCACAGAATATAAAGTTAATCTGTGTCCCCAAGTAAGAATAAACAAATGGAATATGACGTACATTTTAGGTTATAATAGAAGACAACTTTCATAAATAAAGGAGGAATTTACATCACAGATTCAAAGGACAGTGTATTCCCATAAAATTTGGAAACCTGATGAAATCTTTCCGGGTCTTTATTGAATTTTAGGAATAAAATTTCTTTGGGTATGTGGGAAGAATGTAAAAAGTTACACCTGGATGAAAATTGAGCTACTTTGTGATTTCTTCACAGTATCAAAAGGCGCAGAACATTGTCTGCAAAATGCTGAGGGAAAGAAACTGAGCCTAAAATGTCTGACATTCAGACCTCTTTTCATTAAGCTATAAAGACAGCAGGCAAATATGAAATAATTTGGGAAATACAGTACACATAGGACTATCTTATGAAATCTTCCATATAATAAAATCTGATCAAACAGGAATTAAAGTGAAAGCCATTGTAAAAAAAGACCAATGGCAAACCAAACACAACCAAGTTTAAATAAACATAGAAATTATGGTTATAGACTATAAATGCATTTTAACTTAAGAGGTGAATATTACAGTATGCTGAATTACCTTAGGCCTGGCTCCCCAGAAGTACCACCTGAAATGAGAAAACAAAGTCATTTATTAAGGAAATGCTCCCCAGAAATACTGGCAAGGAAGTGGGAAAGGTAAGTAGGGAAAGGGGAGAGAGCAGACAAGTATACAGAGGTGCAATTTCAGGCAAAACTCCAGCAGAGCAGAGATGAGGATTTCTGATTAAACACGGCAGATTGAGCACCTGTTTACCTTTTCTCCCTGTGAAAAACGATGTTAAAAGGCAGAAACCCACAAGGATGAGGAGGACAGGAGAGAAAACAATAGCAAAATGTTGGAAGCTAGATAGTAGATGGGACAATGCCAGTTCTGGTCATGATGGAGTAGCTGGATTCACGTTTACCTTTTCACAAAAACTGTAAGAAGTGACAAGATGTATTAAAAACTGTCTTTGATGCAGGATTTTTGGCTCCTTTGCTCATCTAGGTCCAGGTTCCTGTATCATGACCCAGAAGAATTAGGCACACAGACATCAAAGAGTGAGTGGAGTCGAATTTATGAAGCAAAAGGAAAGCTCTCAGCAAAAAGAGGGGATGCGGGGTTGGTTCTCCTACCTCAAGATGGGAAATTTCCCCAATACGGCGGAGCTTGGGGCTTTTTATGAGCTCAGAATAGGGACTGTCTGCTGATTGGTTTGTGAGTATCCAAAGAAAAGTCAGAGTGAAGACACCATTCAAATATGGGCATGACAGGGTAGAAAAGTAATTAGGAAAGGGTAGGTGTGTGTAAAATAGATGTAGAATGGGGAACAATCAGAGGAAAGTGCGCCAAATGGGAAGGTGGGTTTTGAATCCAGTTGGAGGATTTCCCCGGGACAGTTTCTGGCTTGAAGGTCAGGTTTCACTGGGACGCGCCCCATCTGCCTAGGCATTATCTGCCTTCTACCACTATCATCGGCAGGCACCTGATAGCAAGGGTTAAAGACCCTGAGAGAAGGAAAACACACATGGCAAATCTCATATTCATTTTACCTTTTTTCTTTGAAGACTTTTTCTAAACACTTGCACAGGGAAATCAAGCTTGGGAAAACAGCAGGTAGATTGAAAGTAAATTAATGGAGATACATGGTGTAAACGCTAACCAAAAAAAGCTAATATGACTATATTCACAGCGAACAAAATAGATTTTAAGGTAAGATGTAGTATTAGAGAGAAAGCATGATATTACTAATACATAATAACAAAAGGCCCCATTCAAGCAAAAGACGTAACAATCCTAAATTAACTCTTTTGGGATTTACTTGTATATTTTGTTTAGCAGGATCAAACCAGTGTTAGTCTACGGTTAATTTTACCCACTACTGTGTCAGAACTCTTCTGAGTACTCTACCCAACATCTTGTGAATTATGAGGATTCCCAGTCAGCTGCTGGGGACAAGCACTAATCCTGGACCTATGAGTTCCATGGATTTTTTTCCAGATTCTCTGCCTTGGTTCTTTCTCTGGCCTTGAGTGGTTTCCTCACACATGTACTGATCAGGACTCAGCTGAACGCTTAAAGGAGCCCTCAGCGGGTCTCCAGAGTTCCCCTTCTGTTCACAAACCTCCTCTCTGGTGGTCTAGCTTACTTGGCTTCACCAGATTCTCATCTCCTTCTCCTCAACTCAAGGAAACCACTGGTTTCTGCCTGGTTTCTCTCTTGTGTTGCAATCTGGAAATTCTCACCAAGCAGTGAGCTATGCCAATTGTATTGTCAATCTCATTGATTTTCCATCTCTCAGGAGTCACTGTTCTTCAATCTCTGATGGTCAGTGTCCTGCAAACTGTTTCATATATTGTGTCCAGTTTTTTAGCTGTTTAAACCAGAAGGGTAAATCTGGTCCATGTTACTCCATCGTGACCAGATAGGCTTTTTTCTAAAGCA